TGTGAAAAATTTCGATTGGGGCAAAAAATTTTGTTTTCTTTTGAAAAGTTGCTTTCGAAAAATTTCCGTGTCCCTGCCGTAGACTTTCCGGTTGTTGGGGTAGTTTGATTCTGCTACCAATCACATGATTCTGCTCTGTCCCTAGTAGTACACGAAGTCACGGAAACTATGTTTGGCAACCATTTCATGATGACATTAGGGTCGTTAGTATCCGTAGATTTACTCTATTCAGATCACTACCTATGCTCGGCAAATTGTCAAAATTTCGGGTTGGAGTTTATCGAAGTTGGGACAATGTTAAGCAATACCAGCCGGCTACATCTATAGCAATTATCAGCCGAGTATTTTTACTAATTTTGAGATCTTGACAAAATTTGTTAATTTTGGCTCAGCTGAATTTGATCCAGAATTTTGGATGAATTGTCCAAGTTCGGCAAAAAGCGAATTACATAGATCAGGTAGTGATTGTAGTGATCGGATTCGAGTCAAACAATAATCTTACAATATACTTATGCGTCCTTAAATGATCAGCTGTTAATCTCCTTTACTAGTTACTGTTATCATGTTTATTATTTCGTCAATTATGATTGATTTGTTGTACATTAAGTTGAAGTAATTATGACACATAAAAGTATCACAACATTATTATGAGTCGAAAATAATGTGTAAATGACATACAATTAAATACCATAGCATTATCCTTATATTTGCCACAATTCCCTTAATTGACCGATCTAATTAGGTGCGACAAAAACTGCTACGGCTTGTAATGTAACTAAGCCCGTCAATCACCAGGATGACCTGTATCATGTTACTCCGAAAAGGTCTAACCTCTAATAAGGGATACCCATCTAATTAATAAACCAAACAGGATGCTGGCTATTAAAAACTGTGGCAATGATGAAGAAGTTTGTCGAGAATTCATTTTAAAAAGGTGAAAATTTCGTGACGTCGTTTTTTCAAATTTTATTGGATCCTCATTCAAAGTTGTCTGTTCGGCATTTGACTTTGAGTAACAAATAATATAGAGTTATAAATCATCGAATTTTCATAAAAAAAAAAAAAAAAAATGCCGAGAATATGCTACCATATTAAGTGGCAACGTCGTGTCATCAATATTGGTTTCTGAATTCGATAGATTATATTTCTGCCCCATAAGTTCAACATTTTGTACACTACCAAAAAAGTCTGTCACCAAAACCTATATTTAATTGTATTGTGTTATTCAAAAATAAACTTTATTAAGTTCTTCACAGCTATTGAGAAACAAAAGAAACCTTATCCAGGGGTCTCCTAAAAAGGTCACTGCGTACTCCAGGAGTTGAGTGTATCAGCGATGGGTCATATGAATCAAAAAGATCTTGTAAAGTTGATTTACTTTGCATATCTATCTTTTCAAGAAATTCAAGGTTGTAATACGTAAAGCGATCAATAACAGCTACTCCAATATCAGTGTCCATATGATGCTATTGTTATGTTGAGAAATTTTCTTGTTTCATCAATATAATCACTTTATTCTTAAAAATAAATAAAATAAAAGTAACTTACTGAATAAGAATTTTCACCAAGCTCACTGCTACCCGTAGCTAAGATGTTTGGAGAGTATATTTGACCGTACATAGTATTTGCTTGACAAGTATCAATCATAAACAAGATTTCATGATATCTACAAAAAGTTGTGTTTAATATATAAAAAAAAACAATAAGGATAAGTTCACGATCATACCTTCGCTTTTCCCACATTTGTTCAAAAGCATCAGCCAAATCAAAGCTACTGATTTCTTCCGCGTCTTGAAATTTCAAGAATTCATTACCACCATGACCAGTCATATATACCAAAATATTTGATCGGTCATCAGATAACAAACGTTTAGATCGAGGTGTATCAGGTTCAACACGACCTATGAATATTATTAAATTTTACAAATCAGATTGGTTTAACATAAAAGGGGTAATTAATTTAATAACATGCCTGTCAAAACTCTAATAAAATTTTCGACAGTGACCTCATAACCTCTATAATCGACTTCGACGTTATCTCCATAAAGATCCAGATATCTTCCTGCATTGTTAAAAACTGTAGCAGGGAATACGTTTCGAGGATTACAAGCAACGTCATCCGCAAGCATAAGGACAATGTTTGAATCTGGAATGCCGAGTCTCTTCACTGTACGATACATTGATAATGTATTTGCAATATGGCGATAATTGAACCAAAAACGAGAGGTGCATACCTATAACGGACAAAGTATTTTGAAGTTTGATTGAGTGAAAAAAATACATATATTTTAATTGGACACTGAATATATTCAAGAACACTTGCGTACTTTGATACGCTACCAGTACAGCCCAATTATTGGTGTGTCCACCACGGCTAAAAAAGCCATCAACAACTGCTTCGTTATTAGTCTCCGCTAAACTAAATTTACATATGACAAGACATATACATATTATGATGAAAAAGGAATGTCTAGACATCGCCTCCAAATTAAAATCGAAATTATTTTAACGATAGAGTTCCCAAAGCCATGAGATTTTATAATTTTGTTCGTGTAACGTAGATTACAATTATTAAGTATATTATATAATAAATAAATAAATAATTACAATTGAAAGTCAGATAGATTATATTAACCAATTCGACGTGAAATTTTTTACTTGACACTCATGAGTAGTTTGTTAGGACTTAATTATTATGACGATGACGAAGACGATCAACAAGCCGAAAATGACATGGTTACTGCAGAACAGAGTAATAACATTTTGGGTAAATACTTTTTCTATTTCGAGACAGTTGCAATTAAGTTATCAAGTTAAACATTTCTGTTTCTTTAGGGAAAACGAGCACGGTCACTTACCAAGATGTTGATCGTGAAGAAACTGGAGCAAATATTAGTTCCAAAAATGTAGTATGGCTTCTTGAAGACTTAATCTATATCATGTTTCACTTATATAGAATAGATTTAGTTGACAAAGGACTACAATTTGTTTCCTAACAGAGTACATCTATATCTCAAGCCATAGTACACAATATTGCAGGTAATTAACTGCTTGGACGATCAAAATCGTTATCCAAGTGAATTGTATCTAATTGTATCTCTGGTGTGTCATCCAATCACTTGAGTTTTTGACAGAGTTGAACGTGCATAATTTCATTAATTATTTCCAAAGAATTCGTACAATTAGTTTTCAAATTATTTTAATCTGGTTTTTACGATTAATTTAGAACGTAAACAACTCAAAGAATCACCGGTTAAAAATCTACCGCAAACAATTTTAATTTCTCAAAAAACATTACCACCCTCCCCAACAGTTTTCTCTAATCTGATTCGTCGGAGAGGCAACAACAACACAGTATCACAAAAGCCTCGTTATGAAGAATCTACATCACCAAAAGTAGGCACATCACCAAACGTTACCGGAAATACACTGTCACCACAATCAGATACAACTAAATGCCCAGATAAACAAGAAAAGCACATAAGTGATGATAAGCCAATAATACCAAATGAACAAATCAGATTGGTTTAACATAAAAGGGGTAATTAATTTAATAACATGCCTGTCAAAACTCTAATAAAATTTTCGACAGTGACCTCATAACCTCTATAATCGACTTCGACGTTATCTCCATAAAGATCCAGATATCTTCCTGCATTGTTAAAAACTGTAGCAGGGAATACGTTTCGAGGATTACAAGCAACGTCATCCGCAAGCATAAGGACAATGTTTGAATCTGGAATGCCGAGTCTCTTCACTGTACGATACATTGATAATGTATTTGCAATATGGCGATAATTGAACCAAAAACGAGAGGTGCATACCTATAACGGACAAAGTATTTTGAAGTTTGATTGAGTGAAAAAAATACATATATTTTAATTGGACACTGAATATATTCAAGAACACTTGCGTACTTTGATACGCTACCAGTACAGCCCAATTATTGGTGTGTCCACCACGGCTAAAAAAGCCATCAACAACTGCTTCGTTATTAGTCTCCGCTAAACTAAATTTACATATGACAAGACATATACATATTATGATGAAAAAGGAATGTCTAGACATCGCCTCCAAATTAAAATCGAAATTATTTTAACGATAGAGTTCCCAAAGCCATGAGATTTTATAATTTTGTTCGTGTAACGTAGATTACAATTATTAAGTATATTATATAATAAATAAATAAATAATTACAATTGAAAGTCAGATAGATTATATTAACCAATTCGACGTGAAATTTTTTACTTGACACTCATGAGTAGTTTGTTAGGACTTAATTATTATGACGATGACGAAGACGATCAACAAGCCGAAAATGACATGGTTACTGCAGAACAGAGTAATAACATTTTGGGTAAATACTTTTTCTATTTCGAGACAGTTGCAATTAAGTTATCAAGTTAAACATTTCTGTTTCTTTAGGGAAAACGAGCACGGTCACTTACCAAGATGTTGATCGTGAAGAAACTGGAGCAAATATTAGTTCCAAAAATGTAGTATGGCTTCTTGAAGACTTAATCTATATCATGTTTCACTTATATAGAATAGATTTAGTTGACAAAGGACTACAATTTGTTTCCTAACAGAGTACATCTATATCTCAAGCCATAGTACACAATATTGCAGGTAATTAACTGCTTGGACGATCAAAATCGTTATCCAAGTGAATTGTATCTAATTGTATCTCTGGTGTGTCATCCAATCACTTGAGTTTTTGACAGAGTTGAACGTGCATAATTTCATTAATTATTTCCAAAGAATTCGTACAATTAGTTTTCAAATTATTTTAATCTGGTTTTTACGATTAATTTAGAACGTAAACAACTCAAAGAATCACCGGTTAAAAATCTACCGCAAACAATTTTAATTTCTCAAAAAACATTACCACCCTCCCCAACAGTTTTCTCTAATCTGATTCGTCGGAGAGGCAACAACAACACAGTATCACAAAAGCCTCGTTATGAAGAATCTACATCACCAAAAGTAGGCACATCACCAAACGTTACCGGAAATACACTGTCACCACAATCAGATACAACTAAATGCCCAGATAAACAAGAAAAGCACATAAGTGATGATAAGCCAATAATACCAAATGAACAAATATTAGCGGATGAATCTGAAGATGCCAGACAACATTCTGCTATGCGACAATTATTGACACCAAAACCTATTGAAGGAAGAGAAAACTGGGGAATTCCACCAGAACCTGAATCAGAATGTGATCCAATACTGCAGGTACTTACATCAAACACGAGTTTATACCCTATTGACATTTTATATTAATTAATTGATGTAAATAATTTGCTTTGTAAGGAAAAAATCGATCATTTTCATTCATTAAGCAAAAAAGGAGTACATTTCAACGAAAATCTCTTAAAAAATAAAGCTTTTCGTAATCCGCATATATATAATAAATTGGTTGAATTTGTGGAATTGGACGAAATTGGATCAAATTTTGATCGAGAGATATTTGATCCTTATGGATTTCCTTCAGAAGCATTTGCAGATCAACTCGGTAAATTCATGAACATGAACATTATATTTTCTTTTATTAGAACCCTCGATAATAGATCAGAATATGATATTATCTTATCTTTATTTCAAAGCGGAAGCTCAAAAGAAAATTTTGGAGGAACGTGCCGCAGCGCAGCAACAACAAAGGTCACAGATACAATTTGTAGGGTCTAGTCCTGGTAGCCAAAATATATCTAAATCTCGACACGTTATGCAAAGTCTTGCTGCTAGAGCAGAGAGAGGATCTACGACGGCTAATAATACAACGGTCACGAAATCAACAGTCGTTACAAATAGTACTACTACTGCTGCTAGTTCAAAATCAAGCAGTACAGGTTCTCCTATGTTTATTATATTTGTTCATATATATTATGTATTGACTATAATTTATTATAACTATAAATTCGTCATATACTTCGTTTTAAAAAATGGATAGGAAGAAAACGTGCTAGCAAATGGGATGTTCCCGCACCAAATGTAGCACCACCACCACCATCATCATCAGTATCATCGTCAACAACTTCAAGTTCACGGCACCATAGTAGTCGCACTAGTCGAGATCGAGATCGTGATCGAGACCGTGATCGGGATCGAGATCGAGATCGAGATGGAAAGCGATCAAGGACTTAATATCTCTATTGTCAATGACTTAAATTATGCATAAGATTATTTTTAAGTATTTTTTTTTTTTTAGAAATGTTCGATATTTTACAAAGTTTTTTTCCGCAATTATTTTGTCTGGCATGGGTTTATTTTTAAATTGATTGCTCTTTATAACTCAGAAACAATTTATCATGTAAATCTGTAATGATTTGACATAAATTTTAATAAATTCGACTTGTGACTTTCATAGTAAACTCTTTATAGTATTGGATGTTTGCACACAGAATTCTTGTTAATGATACCGTAAATTGCCGCATAAACCACCCCGGGTCTGTTACTTTAAACCTGCGTGAAATTTGATTCAGAACTGAGGGGGTCTGCTGTACGGAGTACCAGGCGATCGACATCTCAAGGGGTAAATTTTTAATATGAAGTCAAATGACTGACGCACCTAAAGTTTACTGTATATGTAAAATTTAGGCAAAATTTGCTTTCTAAGCTTATTTAACAATAAAGAAGTTGTTAGTTCTGTGTATCATTTTGCAAATTCTCTAGCATTTGAAGAATCTTTTCATCAAATTTTAAGGAAAGTTTAAAATAAAATTGAGGATAATCTTTGCCACGAAGTGGGTCAATTTGTTTGATTTTTTACTATTTGTTTACAAGTGAAGTACATTATTTAACCAAAATAAGGGGTCAGCTAAAGCGGAGTTAATTCAATATATGATTTACATTACATTATTGATATGGGCCGCTGTCAATAGAAATCAAGCAAATCTACATTTGAAAAAAAAATTAATACGTTAAATTTCGCAGCTCATATCTCGATGAATTTTAAGAGTATCTTGATGACTTAATATTCAAAAGAAAGCTTACAATCTGAGCTTTCTTTGAATATTAAATCATCAAGATACTCTTAAAATTCATCGAGATATGAGCTGTGAAATTTATGTTATTAATTTTTTTTTAAATGTAGATTTGCTTGATTTCTATTGACGGCAGCCCATATCTATAAACCTACTAACCATAACTACATCAAAAAGGTAACTATAAAACTTGCTTCACTTTAGCTGACCATTAAAATAAGTAATCAGGTAGCATCAGGGATGGTAAATGACCTGGTCATTTGATTAAAATTCAAATGACCTTAAGTCATCAAATAATGACCAGGTCATTTGGGTCATTAGGCCATTTGGATCATTTGCATATAAAGTAATTTTATTGGTTGAATTACTTATAAAAAAGTTATCGAACTTATTACTTTTCTAATTATAATCGTAGCTATATATTAAAATTAATATTTTATTAAGTCAATTAATATTTATGCCTTA